GCAGACGTGTGTTAAATGTTGAAGTTAATACTTCACATATATTATTAACATGTTAGCAGTAAACCTGCTATGAAATCATATGAATGCTACCTTTTAGTCAATGTTTTCCTTGTTTTTCAGAGTTTGTTGTACTTACACAATTTATCACTGTTTAATGAATATGTTTTCTTTATGTGAAACCGTATCAAGCTCTGTCTATTTGACTATTTATATAATGCTTTAATTGAGAACACCACACTGCTGAGTCAGGTTTTCATGACATGTTTAAGAAACGTAGTAACATGTCAACATCAAGTCACTGTATCCATACACTCTAATTTTACTAACTAAACTAAAACAAAAACTGTTGCCATTTTGGTGATACTAAAGGCCTTAGTTGGCAGTTGTGGGTACATGTCCTTGTTTTATCTTGTAATTATTGTCTGGATTTTCTTTTCTTTTTTTACGTAGGAATAGACAATTTGACTAATTTGTACTCTGACTTTCTTGGGAACTGTTGTCTTTTTTAGAATGTGGACGGTTTAAGGGAATTTAAAACCCATTATTCTGGAAAAGCAATAAATATAATTTAAAGAGGCAAAAGAATTTTTAGATTTTAACAACACGCTTTGTAATTCCAAATTCATTCCCTGGAATTTTTGCCACAACACAATTGCATTGCTTGCACTTCTCGCCTTTCTTTAATCACTTTTATTCTTTCATTATCATTTCTCATTTTACAATACTTAAAAGAGCACAGCCCTAGAAATAAAGAAAATGTAATACTATTGACACTTAGAACCTTTTTAGTCTTCAATTTAACTCAGCCACTGTTCCTAAATAACTTGACATTTTTACACCAGTCTCATTAGATTAGCTTTTATTTATTTTCCTGTTGTATGCCAAGTTGTGTTTTTCCTTAGTTCTTCACAACTCCCACTTTTATCCAATGACACTCTGTTATTTCAGGTTAACACAGTGCCTAAAATAAAGTCATCTTTATTTGTGCCTGACGTTACAATAGCAAAAGTCTTGTTGAAATTGCACAGACAGATTAATGACAAGTTTCACTGTTTTGTGTTGACTTGGGCTATGAGAGCTCTCTCTTTGGATGCATCTAACTGATCATCTTGCTACACTGTCCAGTGCACTTCCTTTAGCTTTGCCACAGTCTCAAAAGTAACAGCTTAACCCCTATTTTTGACTCTCTGTTCTACCAATATGAGAGGTGGCTCTCATGGGTAAATAAGAGACGAGTGACTTCAGCCAAAAGGGTCAAACCACATGATCAGAGTGTCTGTTTCAGTCTCATGAAATCCCATACACCAACCGGAAGCAACTGGGTTAAAGGCTACAGCCACAATTGCTATGTATAAGTTAGAGTGCTGTCACGGTCCTATGTTAGAGATATAAAAACAACTTGTGTGTTTCTCATGTCTATTCAAATTTTAGAGCAGACGTGCGAATGTCTGTGAGCGTGCAATAAACGGTCCTGACATAAACCCTGGCAATTAAACGCCAATCACTTCATTCATTAATCAACAAATGGCTTCATAAAAAAGGTGGAAAATGTTGAGTTTAGTTTCCCCAATATCCAACTAATGGAATGGTTATTGTTACCATCTGCACATAATGTCGTCAAACAACCCAATTACTAACTTCTGGTGATGTTTGGTAGACGATTTGTTTATCTCACCTTTTTTGTGCTAGCCTGAATAAAAGAAAAAATCATAGCCTAACATAAAACAAACATACTTTGCCTCCTGTGTTTAAATGTAAAAACATTGTGATCCATTATAGACATGTAAATGCCGAACTTGTAAGTTTAGTAGGGCTGCAACTTACAAATATACAAGAACGTTTCTTCTGCTTAGGTCCACAAAGTGCAAAAGTCTGGACAATGTCAACTGTTGTATCCAAAACCTCAAAATAACATCCTCTTCAAATGTTTTCTTCTTGTCTACAAACCAAAGTTATTCAGTTTACTGTCACAGAGGAGCAAATCAACCGCAGCATGAACTCAACACCAATACAGACTCAGCAGAGCAGCCTCTCATGTTAATGCCACTGGACTTGTACAGACCGGGAGAGAAAAAGGAGGGCAATTTGACTTTTCTTCTCCTCATTTGTTATGACACTGTCATCGACCAAAACCAGCAGGTCAGAGTTTTAGCAATGCTCCCTTAAATACCACTATCATTTACAACTCAAAACTACTACATTGCTTATTGAAAACTGTTGATAGAAGCAATTGTGGGGTAGTTGAAATCTTGCACTTGTCAGTATTTACGAAGCAGCTCAATGGCATGCATGTCATCTGTCAAACAAAACTGCATGATATGTTAACTTTAAATGAAAATAGAGCTTTTCATGGCATTTTGATGTCCCAATGTCTTATTGGAACAATATGATCATGATGTAGTTAAAGGCTTGTTTTAGATTCAATCCTAATCAGTAGTATATCTACAGTGAATACTATTGATTCATCAAAATTATTCTGCTTGGATTGAAATTCCAAGTTAATATTATTCTGCTTGGATTGAAATTCCATTTAATTTGATTTGAGTCATTTTTTAACCTTTCTCCTTATGACTTTGGGGAATGACAGCCATCCTGTCCAACCCTTTGATGTCATAAGATGGATAACTGCAACATTTTGAAAAGACAGTTATGATCCCCAAACCATGGTAATTGTGGTCCCATGACTTTTATTTCAAAACCATCAGTCGGTCGGTTTTCTTCTCACCTAAACCATATCCACTCCAAACCATGTGCTCAACATGATTTCTCAGCATCAAATAGAATGGATACCCAAAAATGTGACTTCATGTAGTAATCACATCTGCTTCAAGGCAGCCAACGTTAGTAGGAAAATTAATTATTTGGGGATCTACTGTAATTACAGTGTGACTTGACCATGTTTTAAAAATTCCATTAGCCGTTAGTGCTCCCAATGCTCACACTGTTCCAGACATTACTGCGTTTAACCAATGTTTGCCACCTAACAATTGTTGGCTGACACTAGGTCCTGCTTCTGAAATAGCCTGCTTCGTAGCTTTAATCATAAACACCTTGCAAGGAACTGTTACTAATGAAATACAACACGGATTGGCTTCCCTTAACTGGGTCATGAGTTTTCTGCAGGCCACGAAGTCTGAAACTGTATCCCACAATATTGTTACAGCACTGTCAGTCACTGATTGTTTATATCGAAAAACATCTGAAGAATGCACTCCCTCATACTACAATTACAGATCCTTCAGGGGAAGGCCAAGGGGAAGAAGGGGCCACTTCTAGTATCAGAGTGTAAATTGACATCAACACGGACTTAATGATGTGTTTGTGTGTGCGTAGTGTGTATCCAAAATGAGAAATGGGTTCAGCATTGGGGCGAGGTAGGAGATTGCCTCGCTGCTGTGTTTATTCACTAGGCCTATGAGTCATTGCTTAAAGGCGAACCTAACAGCAACATGTCATATCAAGACATAGGCCTAATCTCAACTCCGCATTTGATTCCTCCTCAGTGTGAACGTTGCCAACACTTGTTACGGTCTTCCAGTATTGTTATTAACTTCTACATTCCTGAACATAGTGTTATATAATCAAAGCATTTTGCAAACTAAACCCCTTCACCCTTTCTGAGCTGAAATCAGCTCAGGCCAGAGATGGTTTTAATCACATTACCTGAATTTTGTTTCTCTTATCAATACGTATTATAACCCGCATATATACTGTAGTATACCTACGTCTACTCCTCAGAGCCTAATGTTTCTGCTCGTCTCACTCTGCTATTTGCAAATATTATCTTCAGCAATTGTTTTTTTCTTCAAAATAAAAAAGGGGCTAGAACCTAACTGTTCTGAGATGTGCAAAATTATATTGTTTTGATGTAAAGCAGTTGGCACATATTTCATGAAAAATTGCTTAATCTATTTTTTTTATTATTTATCCTGTAAGAGGACTTTGGTGTCAGCAGCAGATTGTTGCATTATTAGCATTGCCAAAACATCAAGCACTTGCTATGCTATAAACATGTCAGTCCCAAGCTGAGAGCTACTGGAGGTATGCACATGTTCAGTTTATGCATGTATATATGTATGTTTAAATATATTTAATGAGACTTGTATGGGAAGAGAGCCTCTCTTACCAAGCTAAAACCTTCTTCTAGAGAGAGTGTTATTTTTAGGAGCAGACATAAAAAGGCAATAGTGGTGCAGTTCACCACAGTTATTTAGTGCTTCACAGCCAAACCCTGGACCTCAGCAATGTAAATATTTGCCTGTGAAGCATCAGTACGAAGCCCAAGAATTCCTCAGTGTTTGATACCATGTGGTGCTGTTGAAAGGGGAAAAATGACAGCCCTGATTTATAGTTCCATATGGTCTTGTGATGCTAATTTATCTGGTTGTGATGGCTGTTTGGGATGTGGCTTTCAACGAGAGACATATGATGTTTAAATGAAGCTCATTGTGTCTCATCAATGTTATGGTATTAAACAAACAAACATATGACACTCACACTCACTAATGCATTATCTGGACAATGTTTGGAAGACTAAAGTAATGGAGACAAATGTTTGTTGTAGTTTGCCTTAAGGTGAATTTGCATGCTATAATTTAGTCTGTTTGGTTTTCTACCTGTTATAAATGAAACAAAAATGCATTTTACCACCGCTATTATTAAATTTAGAAACTGTCAAAGGGAAAAATAAAGCCACCTAAGTTTAGTCAAGAGGGACATGACATCATTTCTGTGAATGTATATTGGTGGAGGGGTTTCGGTCAGACAAGTCATTTGAAAGTAGAATATTGCAGACAAAAAATAATCCAAAAATTAAATAAATAAATTTTAAAAAAGTTTGGTTTCATGTTGTGACTAGATTGGAACTGGTTTTCCCTGGAGCATCTATTTTTCTGGTCTACTAGGACCTCATCCATGTTGCACTAAACATGAACTTGATTTTAGACAAAATAATTTCAGTTCTAAACCTCGGTTTTATGTCTTTTTTTTTTTTTTTACAGTCTGTGGTGAAAACCGGTCGTTTGCTCATCAGTCATGAGGCTCCAGTGACCGGAGGCTTCGCTTCTGAAATTAGCTCCTCAGTGCAGGTGAGTGTGTGGCGTCTCTGTTTGAGAACATACTGTATTTGATTAGCTGTTATTGCTCTGTTGCTCCCGGGGCGAGAGGGGCGGGGGGTGCATGGTGGTCTTCAAAGCCACTGGTTTTAATAGGTTGCTGTGGGGATGTCAATAAAAAACTCTCTTTGTAATAAAAATGAAATAGCTTTTTATTAGTGTTACAGAAGAGAGACCTGTCAACCTCAGTTGCTTTTGTCAATACTAAAACACAGAAGCTTTCATGTTAAATATCTATGGTTTTACAATGACAATTACTAAATTCACTTTTCACCAAATGTTTAATACATTTCCAAACTCTTCTGTAGTGTTTCAATTGTTAAACTTTCATATATTGTCTTCTTCTTATCTATCAATCTATCATCATTTTTGTACTATAACATAATGATTTTTCGATCACTTGGTTGATGTATTTGGCCGTGTGAACTATTAACTATTCTTGATAGCAGAAAGCCTTTGATTCACCCCATTGGTTGGTTTGACAGACATGTAGAGAATACTAATTCTAAATATAATCTCACAGCACAGGATTCCAATTGGACATTTTCTGCAAAATCCAGTTTGATCATTTTCAGCTGGACGTGTATCTTACACTATTCAAATTATGCCGAGACTGACATTTAACCTTAAAATTGGCTGCAAATGAAAAACAAAAATGTAAAATACCTATAATTATTAATTAATTAACATCCTTTTTTAACGTCACTGTTTTATTATGGGAAGATGAAGTGAACTATTAAATTTTATCTGTGATTAAACGTTTTTTTGTTAACAACCATCTTAAACATAGTCCTCTGCAGATCACTGCTGAATAATGATCTGAGGGGATTTTGGATATATTTTTCAAATAGCTTCAGCTCAGTCTAATTCTTGGGCTTTGTAATGTGAATTAGCGTCTTGAATATCTCTGCTGGGTTAACGTCCACTGTGAGAAGATTGATTTTGTTTTCATGTAGATCTACTTCAACCGTAACATTTTCCTTCCCTAACGCCCAACTTCTGTTGAACCTGATTTCATAGTCGGCCTCCCTGATGCTATTTTGTCACATATCTGGATACACTAGGAGCTAGGAGCTAATTTTCCCTAAAAGTGTTGTTAAGCAGAAGAAGCTGACTTCAACAAATGTGAAGCCTCCAGCTGTAACTAAACTGGAGGCCCAGTTCTGAGTCAAGCAGACAGAGTAATAAATCATGGGCATTTAGTGAGTGTGACGCTGAAGAAATGTGTCTGTGGTTGCTTAAAGTCTTGTGCAAATTGAGAATACTTGATCGCCATTATTCTGAGATCTTTTTGTGGTTGACATAACCAGATGTTTTTAAACGGAAACTCAAAACATTTGAGACTTAATCTTAAGTCATATTCGTCCTGATTCATCAACTCTAACTACTAACGACTAACTGCCAGTCACCAGTGCATGAGACCTCCATAACCATTCACATACGAGTGATATTAGCCCTAAATGTATTTTTAAAAAATGTTTATAGTTTATATTTGAAAGTATTAGTTTCATGCTCAGTTTTTTCTCTGCTTCATTCTTCTATGTCCTTTTTAGCTTTGTCTACTGTATGATAATAACATGAAGAAAGTAAATTATGGTGAGCTGAAAACGCAATTTTGAATCTTCTACTCTTGTTATTATATAAAAACATCTCTTCATCACTAATGTGCAATAAGGAAAGACAAAATTGAAGGAACACCCAGATAAGACCACTAGGATTCATTGTTGAAAGTACCTGTATCTTAGTATAGCACAAAGGTACCGACGATCCATTATTTAAATTTATTGTTGTGTTTCATAAACATATTGCTTAGCAAGGATGCAGTGATTCTCATTAGTTTGTATTTTCTCAGATGGGTTAACATACATATGGCTGATGCAGCTAAACCATCATTATAACTCCATTCATTCTGTTGCCATTTCATATTTGCTGGACTGAGTTTACCTGAAACACTGGCCATAGCTTTTTGGCAAATTACATGCTTGTACAGTGTAATTACAGTTGATATACACACATATAAAAAAGAAAAGGCCAATATACTGTGAAAGAACACCATCCACACTAATTATTGTTTCAAAATTGAGGGGTCGTCAGCCAGCAGATGTTCTTGTGTTCGCAATTATGACGCAGATAGTAAGGGGTAAAAAGGCCAAACAACAGTGTGTTTATGTGTTTAGCCTTTTATAAGTAGAAACCAAAAGGTTCTCATCCACAGTTTTTACTAAAAGCAGGAAAGACAGTGGAGAAACAGCTGTGTGTTATATACTTCAATGAAATATCAGGTCAGTGATGGGACAACACCAACATGATAAATTGAATATTGGATAGTTTTCCTGGCACTTTCAGATGGACCAATGTGTTTTTTGTTTCCTCTGTTGTATCCAAAATTGAGTGGCGTTTGGTAAGATTGTCATTTCTTACACTTTGGCTGCAGAATAATTTATTTAATAATGTGTTTTTGGCACCATTATGGAGATCAACTGATTACTGATAATGGCAGTGATAAGCATAAAATAAATGTGTTTTATTTGGATCAGAAGAATCATCATTGAGTTTTGTTTTTGTTGATTTATGCAACTTTTGGGGACATGTTTAAAAGATTGCACACTTCATTCTGGCCAAGATGTTGTTTTCTGAGGATGAGGGCTTGTCACCCTTTTACCGCAAATGCTGTTTACTGGATGACACTCGGAGCAGTACCGTGGTTTGAGGGAACACACTCCAAAGAGCTGTAAAAGCCCCATTAACCCGCCCCTTACACTGACACTAAATTGCCTTCAAAGGGCAGTGTTTAATACAGGAAGGCCACTTTAAAGACATGTGAATAGGCTACAGATTTGACCGTGGTGAGTCAGAAGCATTTAGTGATTTTGTTACGTTGAACAGCCCAAAATGATCAGTAGCCTTTGAGCCTAAAGTCACTCATTACCGATTGTCCTACCTTCATATAACTGCGGGATGTTGAGCAAAACCTTCTCTCACATCCGTTATTAAAATTACTTGTACTGTACAAGTCAATTATACTTCTTTTAATGTTTGTTTTATGACGTTAAGTGTTATACCACCTCAACAAGTACCCCATACATTGGAAGGTAGGGAAGGCTTAGAAATTAGTACACAAGATAATTGAACTTGGAGACAGATGTGAACAGGGAAATATAACTTGTCACCAGCTATACATATATATATGTGTGTGTGTGTGTATATATGTGTGCGTATATATGTATGTATATATATATGTATATATATATATATACTGTATATATAAATGTATATGTGTATATATGTGTATGTTTATATTCTTTCACAATATAAACTGATGGAATGAGGAGTAGACATAAGTATTAAATTTTTTAAAATGTTTTCATTAACTTTTTCTTATGGAATTGTTTAACAATTATGCATTGTGTATATATACAGTATATACATATAACTGTTTGTTTTCATGTGTGTTCATGTCTGTGCATGTTGCTTTCAACAATCTCCTCAATATTTTTAAATTCTGTGCTCATGCAGGATAAAAGCCTCATTTCTCTGGCATATTTTTATTCTGACATTTAAGCATATTACATATAATGATGCACTGCCCGAAACATAAACACGGATTCAAACGGAATCTGAGTTGTGTGGCCGTCCTCTGTCCAGCTGTGGTGGCAGGCAGTCAGACTACTGTACTTTCCTCCCACTTCCAGTAAGTGTATTTAGAGGAGATTACAGATGTCATCCAGACAAAGAACAAACTCACTGGTACTGTCTGACTTGTTGTCAATAGTCGGGCAGGGAGTGGGTCTCTAGGTTGTAATCTTAGTCGACGTTGGTAATCACGTTGTCATTTACAGTGGAGTGAAAAGAAAGCAAGACACCATGTGGCTTTACTTTGGGTCTTTACTTTTGATGATTTGTAGGTAAATTTCTTTCATCTCCAGTGGCTGCTGCAAAGAATTGTTTCATAAATACCTTGAACAGATGCATATTTGCTGCGCACACTGTCAAATCGGTGCTGGAAAAAGAGTTTTGGTCAGGTATGCAGAAAAGAAAAATGACGCAGAGATTGTGATCTTTACTCAATAAGATGTGACAGGAGACGTAGGTGCTGCAGGTTTTTTCTTTTCATGTTAAATCCTGTGTTACTTTGACATCACCAACTTTCTGTTGTCTCCAGTGAATAGGGCTGAACCTTTGCCCAAGAGAACACAAATTTCCTTTGTGAGCTGGTAGGTGCCAATAATGACAGGCTGTATTAACTCACCGGCATGGATTTCTAAATGAATATACATGTGTAAGTGTGTAATTACTTAAATAAAAATAATCAGTTATGAGAAGAAATAATTAACAGTATCCATTCAAGCATTTGAAAGCCTCTTACCAAAAATTAAAGAATTGAAAATAAACTAAACGTTTGAATATACATTTAGTCAGAGATGCCAGATGTCATCTGCCCTTCGGCTATGTACATTTGTCAGAACATGACAGAAATATGCTAAAGAAAACATTAGCATTAACATCAGTGGCTGTTGTCATGATGTGTCACAGCCTGTTGGGGAAAATATATATCTACTTAAGATCTCAGGTTATTCTGAAAATCTATAGTTCAGCCACTTTTCTCAAACCTCATGTCCCCATCAGTTAAGGACCCGGGTGCAGCCAAATGCCAACCCGTCTTGCTTCCTGCCAAATAGCAGTGCCAGCAGTATTAAGAGCACAGCACAACAAATCAGGTGGGACTTCCCCAGGTTTTGGGTTTCATTCTTACTGGTACCAAAATGAGGAAATGCATGACTGCTGGACTAGATCTTTCATGAGTGGTATTGGATTACATCCTGATTTTATCACATTAGATGACTGTCATTGTCCCAAGAAATCAAATATAAATGTATTTCCTTAAGTTTCCTGGTCCAAGACATGCAACCATGAAACTATTTGGCGAATTGTAAATTTATAATATTTACACAGTGTGTGTACAATATATTTCTCATAATTAAACTTCTATCATCTAATTAAAACTGATAGCTCTTAATCATAAGTTTTATATATATATATATATATATACATATATACACACACACGTATGTATGTATGTATATATATATACAGTATATGTGTGTAAAGTGTATGCATCAAATGACACAATTTCAAATCTGCTAAGGCATAAATATATCTAAGGCATAAATATGTCTGCTTGCAGGCCAGATCTATGAGGAACAACAGGAATACCCTTTCTGCTGTTTCTTAAAATTTTGAATATTTTTATTATCCAGTAAAATATATTTTTCTCCTGAGGTCAATCCTTCCTCTCCCTCTGTGCCATGTCCAGTCCAGGGCTGTACAGACACACAGACCTTTACTGTCTGCACTCTCTCACCATTATGTTGTTTTTTTTACAGTCTTTTTTTAAAACACCAAAGCACAAAAGTCCTTCTCATCAAGCCTGACATTCCACTGGTCTCTGCCAGATGTTTCATAAAAAAATGAAAAATGGTGTGACACAAACAAGCCCTTCTTTGCCAAATGCTGAAGTAGTCCAACTGTCTGGTTTGTAATGTGAGACTAAATAAATGGCTGAACTTCGTGACACGGTCAGCGTCACAAGAAATGGGTCACATAATGTGGTCTGTGTTAGATGTTTAACACTTTGGAGATGTTTCCGTAAATCTGCGCACTTGCATCCTCTGTGGTTTATTCATCTCATCGGGGGGCTTGTCCCACTTTGTGTGTTGACCAACCTAGCTCTGCTTTGTCTCCATGGGATGAGGTCAAAAGCCATTGAAGAGACAAGAGTCACAGCTTGTTTGGCTCTTAGGTCAAACTGTCTTGGTTGGCCTGAATGAGCCATTGTTACTTAGAGCATGTACATTATTGGCAACTGATTTTTCCAAGTTGTTTTAGCAACAAGAACTCACTGCACTTTGTGTTTCAGTTGCTTTGTTTTATTTTCCTCTAAATAACTTGGAGATATTCTAAAATAAGCATTAATGGTAAGCTAAGTTTCTATATTTTTGTGAGTAAGAATCACATCTGTGAAGCTAAAGTTGTTTTGCACACTGAGTTCTTCTCTAATGATCTGTACCACTGATAGAAACCTGATCTGTTGCTAATCTGAATTGTGAATAAATTCAGGGCCTTTTTTGGCCCTAAGTGAGCTGTAACAAAGGCTCCCTTTAATACCTTTCCTTTTTAGAGCTGAGTGAGTCCAAGTATGAAAACAACTTGTAATAATGTGGAAGTCAATCATGCCTAAACGGTGTTCTTTTATTACTAAAAATATCAGAAAACAAAATTAAAAATTTAACATGATCCAATCCTTAAGTATCATATGCATTCAAATCAGCTTAGAGGTAAGGTGATGTAAGGAGCCTCTGGAGTACATTTGTTAAAGATGTTACTCAATACTGTCCTATGCTTAAAAATATAGTGTTTGGTTTTTGTTAACCAGCAGAAGGTTTGTCATTCTTGGTGGTGTTCAATGAAAGATACAACTTAAATGATTTGAATGTAATTGCTGTGAATAAGGCCTTTGTGCTCAGTCTAAAGTCATCCCTTGTACAGTACTGTTTGACTATGAAGTCCACTAACTTTTTAGAGTCACACTCCAAAGTGTTCATGTCAAGTATGTTTTTTAAGTCTTTTCTGTGGATGAAAATCAAAAGTCAACAAATAACAATGGCTCAACTTTATCCAGAGGGCTTCCCCCATAGTTATCATAAGGCTCATTAAAAACATTATGCTTGAAATACCTTGAGCTACATGTTGAATTATGATTCCTTTTCAATCACATCCCTGTTGCAACATGACACATTTTATATGGACTCTCTGCTGTCAGCCAAATATGCATCAGACGTTCAAGGTCTGAACACATCTGCACGGCTTCCCTGACTGACTAAATGAACTCCCAACACTGAATCTGTTTGCTTCTTGCAGGAGGAGTGTTTTCTCAACCTGGAGGCCCCCATCACAAGGGTCTGTGGTTACGACACACCATTCCCGCACATCTTTGAACCCTTCTACATCCCAGATAAGTGGAAGTGCTTTGAAGCAATCAAGAAGATGATCAACTACTAAGGTACACACAACACCAAACCATAATAGTGCGTAACAAAAGAGCTGCACGATTGTGACCATATACAGTGCAGCTCTTTGTACTAGAAATGCCGAAAATAGTATCATTCTACTATCATTATATAAAAATAAGTTAAAGAGTTAAGAAAAATATTAAACCAAGTACCGTTTTGAAATGAGCTGTGAAAATGCATTAAAACACCTACCATTTATGCTATATATATATATATATATATATATATGAAATGGTCATTTAAATACAGTTAGTCCATAGCCCAGGTTCTAGATGGTGCTGAAAATATTCCCTCATCATCCAGCAGTGCTTTTGCTATAAAAGATGTTCTGTGCTGCTTGATAGAGCACTTGGAGCGGCTCAGGTGCCGCCCAGGAGGCAGCATCTGGAAAAACAGGTAGAGAACATTAGTCCTGCTCTTGATTATGTCCCCGGACTTTGCCCTGACCTCGCATTCTCAAAAACTAGACACTGGTTATTTCTGTTCACTCTGTTCGACAAAGAATCTTGCAAACATGTGACTCAAGTAAGCAGCAGAAATTAAACTTTATTCTTGATCGCATCTGGTTTCTCCTCTGTCCCCCTTGTCGATATAAATAAAGTATACTAATTTAGTGGCTGTGTGGAGCTCAAAACAACACTGGAAAGCTGTGTGGTGGAATTAAAACTCATATTTGTGGCCATGTCGTAATTATTGACACTGACATTCCCCTAACCATAATTTGATATGTTTTTTTGGAGTGGTGTAACATTTTCCATCAGCAAAGGCTTAAAAATATCATTAAAGGATTTATTGAAGACAGAAAAGGCAAACAGTTTGAAAAACAACAAGGCAGAAGAAAACAGCCAGGGACAAGTATTAAAAAAAAATAAAAATGAAAGGTCGAAAATATTGCAAAAACCTGAGACTTTTAATCCCAAGTGTGGTGCACCCTCCAAAAACACTAGTCCTTTATTGCAACTTGATGAGGTCTGTTATTAGACATTAGAGGACTGGTGAACGTTCACACGCTGTCCTCCTGCTTAGTAAATATTTTCTATTCATGCAGCGCTTGCAAAGTTCACTTTCCTTTTGGAAGGAAATGTTTCTCAACCTATGTAATCTGTTCCATACTGCTTTCTAAGCACCGTACCGAAAAACTTTAGTTCTTATTTTTCTGTTTTTTCAAAAATTATCCTATAAAACAGGGCTGTTACCGTGTCCAAAACTTAAATATGTCTTTGGGTGTCAGGTTGTTTGAAACCTGTTTCTACTTACAACAGGTAATTATGTTACATGTGTATATATAAGGACCAAGTTCAGTCTTCAAGCTTTGATGATTACTGCATTACCCTAAAAATAAAACACACACTGCTGGGTTGAACTCATAAAACACAGATCATCCAGCGGTCACTGCTACCTTTCTGCTTTTTTAAATGGACTATTTTAATTAACGATGGATTATTTTACTAGGTTACTGGTCAATTGATATAGGGCTGGACATATAGCGTATAGTGTTTCCATATTGTGTCTGCAATATAACTCCATTCTATCACAGCCCTATTCAATCCCAGGTGTAAATATTTAGTCGACACTCGAGCAGTTGTGTTGTTTTTGGTCACTGTATTGTCAGATTGCCGTAATTCTGACTAATTCTTTGGACAGTTTGGATGCCAGAATTATTCATAATCCACTTTCATTTGTCAGTTAAACCTGAGTCATAGTGATTAAAAAAAAGGCTGGCCTTGATGAATTCATTGGATGGAGACACTGGTAAAATATACAACACATCAGCTCATGCTGCTCATCATCCACATTCAGCTCCACTTCACCTGCCATCTGTTCTTGTTTTCACTTCAACTTACGAAACCTCTGTTCGGTTCCAGAGTCAACTTCTGGTTGCCCTGGGTCCCGCCTTTTCCTCCTTTTCCTCTTCATTTATCCAATCAGTGAAGGGCTGCCAGGAAAGACATTTCTTTGACCATCACACCAGGAAAGCGCAATCCAGATGGTTTCCATGTCCCTCTGTCTTTTCTCCTAAAAGGACTGTTACAGTGTCTCTGAAGTAGTCAACCTCATTCTGCTGAAATGGAAAATGAAGATCTGGTCTGTGAAACTCTACCCTAACTTCAACACACTTAAATAAGCCCTAAATCAAAGACGGATACTCCAGGGAGAATGTGCGTTTATGGTGGCATTTATGACTTTCTGTATTTCTGTGGTGTTACGTTTGATGAAATGTGTGCAACTGTGCTATAATCTTTATTCAGTTTGACATGAATAGAACCTTATTGTACCATTGACACAGATCTGTGGTTTTTAATGGAAAAATAAAAAGCAAAGATCATGGTGAAAAAAAGCAACAAAAAAAAGAATCTGTCGTTGAGTTTGTTTTTAAGAGGTGCCCTCCACCTGGCAGTGTGTAGAAATCTGAATTTGATCAGCCTGTTAATAAGAAATGAAGTTAACAACGCCAGGGCATACAGTATTTTACAACTTGTGGAGCACTTTTATTGCATTTGTCGTCATTGTTCGTCCAACTGTGTGCTCCATGCCGTCTGAGGGAAAACAAACCCAACCTTTCTCTCTTTATAAGCAATAACAATTTGATTTTCACAATATAAAATTATAAACCTCAGGAAAATGCCAGAGAGTTTTACATCGCCATTACTGTTGTGAACTGTTGTCCTGCTGTAAAGTTTCAAGACCTTTTATCTGAGCCGCTGAGAAAATTACTGGTTCTTGTTAAACCCTGTGTCTATCTCTGACCATTTCAAGTTTTAATACGAGAGACATGGATTTAATCAGAAGAAACCCTCTGAGCATGTGCCGCACATGTTTTCTCTGAAATCGTTAATCTTAGATAAACTATCACTTGAACAACTATGAAATGTGGCCATCAGTGAATGGACCACTGCCACTGCCTCCATTAGATGTTGCCGGCATTGTCCAAAACCTCACTTCACCCAAGCAACTTCAATGTGCAGGGGATTAAAGCATTTTCTGCAAAATGAAAATAATGAGAGTGTAAAGCTCGCAAACTCTTAGAAGTGTCAGTGAGTGCAAACTTCTTTTTCTTTTACCTGGAAAACAGGATAAAGGGTTACAAGTCATTTCATTTTCTCCCCTTTCTCTCTTTGCCCAGGCAGTCGGCAACACTGAGCTGCTCAAGTTGTCTTTTCTCACTGCTGTCGCCAAAATGTTTAATCAGTGTGTGATTCAGTTTGGTTTCAGTATTGATTAGCACCAACAGGCTGCTCCTTTGAGGCAACGTGATTCCTCTGGGGCTCGAACCCATGACCTTCTGTGTGTAAGGCAGAATATAAAGAAAAAATACTTTTCGTACTTGAAATCAAAATTTTGTAAAAACTGTTTTCAAGACTTTGAACTCAGTTAGTGTTTTGTTTGTTTGTTTGTTTTTGTTTTTCAAGAATAATTTTTCAGATCCCGTGACTCTGTTGGTTTCTTCTCAAACTCCCATCTGTCAAGTTGATTCAATGGTATTTAATCAGGTTGATCAAACACTGAGGATTTCCCGTTTTTCTTAGGTATGTTTTACTGGATCCAGCAGTGTGCTCAGGATCAATGACCTGTTTGACTTTGACTTTTACCTGAAAAAGAAAGTTCCATTTTCCAACCTGGACACATCACAAGACGAGGACTTTGCACATTTGAGCCTTAGGCCAGTCTGCGTAATTTTGCATATTTGAGCCTCATTTTCCACCGTTGCTTTGTCCAGGAAATGTTTTTCTCTATAACTTTCCCATTTAGACAACTGATTTGACTTTGGCAAACCGTCCAAGGATTATCTGAAGGTGCAAGATGTATTTTTCAGATCAGATCTCGATTCATGTCCCGAGCGGCCCCTGTAGGAAACTGTTGATGTTCAAAGCTTTGTCGACCCGCCATGTTTTTTTTTCTTATTATTATTTTTCACTTATATGTACATCCAGTGTCGTGATGACGGCACAAGTGGAGTCAATGTTAATATCAGGGTCTTTTGGAATTCAACAACCAAGGTTCCACTGTATATAGTATTAATTAAAAGAAGCCTTTAATAGCACTGAAAACTGTCATTTGAGCTGCAAATTTGACAGTCTTGTCTTACTGTACTGCCTGATCTTTGGTTTTTAGGTTTGTCGGTTACATTTTGTTTTTATTAATTCAAATATGCAAATTGACAAATATGACTAAGTACACAATTCAACCCCTGCTTTCTTTGTTTAAACAAATAAGTTCAAATAAATTCTCATTTGTTCCGTCTGTTAAGTAAAACTATGGATCACTCACAGACCTGTTCTCCCTCAGAGTCTCTCAGTAGAAAAGCATGTTGAGGCAAAGTACCGTGACAGACATCTGCAGCTGTTCTGGCCTTTTGCACTGAAGCACCGAATGCAATAAAGACAACACAAGCATGTGGAAACATGGGCTGTGCAAATCATAAATATTTCATTTTTTTTATTTTTTTATTTTCAAACAAGGATTTGTGTGTTTAAAATCTACAACATTGAGCCCCCAGATGATAATCTTTACTTGTGTCAAGTTGGCTCAAATGGTCAAAACAGCTAAAGGTAAAAGTAACTGTTGAGTTCATTTAAGTTGACATGGAAAAGGGTAGGTTAGTCTAATGGTAATTCAAATATTAGAAAATGCAGAAACACATTTAAATTAAATTGGAATTGCAAACAAAGGGCTAATGGTTAGCCACGCACGTTATGTGATAACCTAAAGCTGTGTGGATATTCAGTGATATTTGGTTTAAAAAAAAAAAAGCTGTTTGAAGTGTGAAAAAAGAATTCCAGCTGATGCTGCTTTTTGACAGCACTGCTTAAGCCTCACAGTGCAGTGAGTTTCATATTCCTGCCTTTTGGTCATTTTCACTCTGCTGCAGTCTGAGCCTGTGGGGACAGAATAATCAAGCAGCTAATGAAACCTTTATAGTGGAAACACACAAGAGAGACAGTGAAAGCAGATGGTCTCATGTCCTGAGGTGTTTGCTTTTCATTTGAGCTGAACTGAGTCCATCAGTGACTAATAGGTTACCAGAGCCATGTTTTCTCTTGAACACACACTTGGTTTTTCACATGAAAGTATATGCTGTAGCACCACTGTCTTCACAAGACAGGGATTGAGATTAAACCTGAGCAGCAGACTGAGTCCATTGGTTTTCATGAAGCTCAGCCAGTTGGAGCATCCTCAGAGGAAATCACAAGCATAACTCAGTTTGGACTTTGGGCATTTTTTTTAAATAATTTTTGGAAATATTCTCATAGCCATTGTGAAGGTCAAGAAGTGTGTTGCACTGTGTTTGATTCGCTGGTCTTTTTTTTGGTGGGGGGGGGGCTGACTGCTTCCAACATGTTGCTTTGTAAATGCTTTGTAAATAATTAGGCAACAGTTTTAGATACAATATAAGGAAAGTATTTTTTTTTTTTTTTTTTTGCAGAACTACAAATAAATAAAAACATGCAGGTTAGCTGTGGCTATTTAGATACGTGGCCTATTAAAATAAACACATTTGGAACAGTTGTGTTAGAAGTGAATGATAGTGTTTTACGGTAACAATGACCAGACTTCAGTCTGCAGGATGTGCATACACTTCCAGCATGTGGACTTTCAAAGGGAGTCATTTGTAATATGTCTCCTCCGATTGTTTTTAGGCTCTAAATGTGCCCCAGCTCTTTTCCCTTTCTTGCTGAGATATGTTGTAAACCTCTCACCTTTACAGTGTGATATCTGTTTTATCAACAGGGAACAATCTAGATTGTGGAATAGGAAGCAGGCACCATATATCTGAGATGGATGGTGTTAAACAACTTCTGAAGGCTGTATGTTAAAAATGGACTAAATGACAAAAATGCTCCACGAGATTTAGAATCATCTCTACTTGGAAGCGATGAAGAGTGAGGCTGTTTCTCCCTCACTTTATAGACAATTTAACGTTTTCTTAGAGGATGGATTTCAATCACTGGTAAAAGTCCTCAACAATATTTATCTACAGTCTACGGTCCCTTGCGATTCATTGGATAACTCTGTCAGTCTGCTTGCCAAAACAGGCCTTGAAGTAGTATTTTAAGTTTGAGGTGCATGAATGAAAGAAAACTTTTTCTTGCAGTGTGTCGAAATGGCAATGGTAAAATTATTAATATTAAATAAATAATTTCACAAATTAATTTCACAATTTTCAACAGTTTGTTTATTTTAATAGACCTAGATTATAGTTTAAAAAATCGTAATTTTGCAAATACTACTGTCTTATCACAAACAGGACAGTGATGTGCATTTCACCTGGAATTGTTCTGTTGCTATATAGAGAGTTACTTGATATGAGTATGACTAAATAAAATCTCTCACTTTATCCCCCCCCCCTTTCAATTTTACAAGAGTAAAAATGAACCAATGACACTAAACAGGTGCTGTATTGCAGTACAAACCGCTTTGAGAAACACTGAGCTGTGATCAGCAGTGAGGAACTGAGGAGACCATTTCTTCCCATGTCTTATCAAATGTTAAGCAAAAACGAAAACCAAGTACTAAGTATTTACTAAATCTTTGTAAAGTTCCAGAGAGGATTCTCAGCACTCTGCGCCACAAACACTGGTCAAAATGCAAAGATAAAATCACGTCTGTCATTTTGGTCTGGGTGAAAGCAGGGCCTTTAACCACCGTGGTGAGGTGGCCCCTCCTTTGGGCGGGGTGGCAGAGATGACCTCTGCCTGGCAGGAAGGCTATAATAGCATCTGTGCGCTGACAGTGTGTCATTACACACTATATTTACATGAAACCCAAAAACCCAGGGGTGGTAGGTCACAACGTAAAGCTACGGGAGGTGAAGACGCTCTGGTGCATGTTGAAGCCTACAACTAGAGATTAGTGAAGATTATAGAAGCTTTTAGTCTGTAATGTGGGCCGCTGTGGATTTCACTGGTCACCGGGGCATGTTTTACAACATCATTACACATTCATGGGACTGCTCTGATTGTATTCACCCATCATGCATTGGATATTTTATTTTGATAGTTAATTATAATAGTCTCAGCCTGGGATAGACTAACCTGTGGTTTGCGTGGAAAGTGATGATGATGATGGTGAAATAAATGATGTGTGGTGGACGGGGAAAAATGCTTGTTGAATACAGAATCAATTCATTTCAGTTCAGCCTCACTCAACGCTCCTCTGGCTTTTTTTTTTTTTCTAAAAGTAATTGAAGCAGGAACTCTTTCCTGCGTCTGTGTTCCTTTCCTTACTGATAAGACGAAACACTGCTGGCTTCATTAAAAACAGAAAATGAGCTGCGCTCCTCATCACTTTTGCCAGAATTTAAATTTGTGTTGACAAACTTGTGTTGAACTAACCTGCAGTTAACGACAAA